TGAAAGTACCTATAACTAGCATATGCAGTATTACGACAGATGGAGCACAAAGTATGACAGGGACAAAATCTGGATTTGTTGGGATCTTTAATCAAGAATATCCCGAGAACAATGTTGTATTTCTGCATTGCGTCATACTTCAAGACGCCCTGTGTAAGTCTGCCTTGGATAAGAAACCTGTGCTTGATGTCGTTGTGAAGCTTGTTAATGCCATTCGATCTCGAGGGCTTACTCACAGACAATTTCGAGAGTTTCTTGACTCCATGCAATCTGAATACTCTGATTTACTGTACTACTCGAAAGTAAGGTGGCTTAGCGCGGGACGCGTCTTCGAGCGAGTTTGGCAGCTGAAAGACGAAATAGTGTCATTCTTCCAAGAGAAACAGTGGTCTGTAGAATGTGAAATGCTGGAAGATACTGCATGGCTTTCGGACTTTGCATTTTTCACAGATCTTCTCTGCCACCTGAACAAGTTGAATGTCAAGATGCAAGGAAAAAATCAATTTATTGATGATATCTGGGGCCATATCAGAAGTTTTAAACTACAACTTGTTCTGTTTGCAGATCAGCTAGCTAAGAATGACTTGTCTCACTTCCCGAGGTTAAATTCAATAGCCCCAGTGATGAAGGACAAGCTTAGGAGCTACGAGGATAGCCTGAGAAGACTCCGTGGTGAATTTGAACGAAGATTTCAAGACTTCAGTGCCATTGAAAAAGACTTGGATGTTTTCAGTATGCCTTTTAATGTAGACTGTGAAACAGTGAAACCGGACTTGCAACTTGAATTAATTGAGTTGCAATGTAACACTCAACTCAAACAGTTGTTTCTCAATGTCCCAAAATTAGAGTTCTACAAGTCCTTGTCAAAATCCAGTTTCCCAAATCTGATATCTCATGCCCAGAAAGTCACTGCTATGTTTGCTTCATCCTATATATGTGAACAGGTGTTTTCTACAATGAAACTTCGAAAGAGTTGTATTAGAAACAGACTGACAGATGAGCATTTAACTTCACTTCTGAGAATCAGTGCATCCCAGTTCGAACCAGATTATGAGAAAATTTTGGAAATGCAGTCACAGTTTCATTCATCACATTCTCCTTCATAATCTTTCAATCATTAATAGGGCTTAGTATTACAAGAATTTTGTAAAATCTACCATTATTGTTTTTAATAAATTATATTGGCCCGCCTAAAGTTTTTTCTTTTTTCTTTGGCCCCCTCCTAAAAAAGTTTGCCCATCACTGGTCTAAAGCATCACTGACGTCATCACATAGTGATGCCAGTCGTTATGTTATTATTAGAAAGTTATTAGTATTTTGAACATGAAATAGGGACCAAAATTACCACACCGGAAATCTCGTTGAACACAAAGGACTTATCTCTCAAAGATGTTTTAGGCGGATATCGTGTTGAAATTCGTAGGGATAAAGGTCTTTATCGACACTTACTAGGCATTTTTTGAAAATTATATGTGCCTATTAATTAGTTTATGATTTACGACACAGACGGTCCTGCTGAAAACTGGAAGTCTATTTTCGACCTGAATGTCCTGGCTTTGAGCGTTTGCACGAAGGAAGCAATCCAGTCCATGAGAGAACGTCAAGTGGACGATGGACACATTGTTCACATTAACAGGTACGTGGCCAGGGGATTAGTAACCAGACAAACATATTCTGATATAGTCTGCACAGACAATAAAAATTCTATCATTGTCAGTATGCAATTGCGAGCTACTTACTTGCTAATGGAGCTGAGACCTTCTAGAGGAGCCTTCTACAGATACTCAAGAATTTCCCAGCATTTTATGGAACCCGAAGTTTCATTATCGTGTTCACAAGAGCCCTCCAATGATCCCTATCCTGAGCCAGATCACTCTAAACCCATACCATCCCATCCTATCCCTCTAAGGTCCGTTTTAATATTGTCCACCCATCTACGTCTCGATCTTCCCAGTGGTCTCTTTCCTTCTGGCTTTCCAACCAATATCCTATATGCATTCATCTTCTCCCCCACATTGCGAGTTGTCGAGAGTTAACGTGTTGCATGTACCTAAGTTATGTAGTTATGTTTCAAAATTATAGGCCATCAAAATCCCGATAATAATTTAGAATCACTCTGTATTTATAAATATACAAATCGTACATATTCACTGTTGTTGTGTGACATCCCCGCACATCCGCAAGCTAACGGACACGCAGGAAACACGTCACGATACTGGCATGTACTGTTGTGTGACGTCACAGATCGCGCGTTGCATAGAAACGGTCCGTCCGCGTACATAGAAAACCCTGTTCCTGTACTGTTGGCCGCGTGTGTGTTCCGGGCGTTGTCTATCAACGCCCGATGTTTACAGATTCATTGCTTAGCAACGGTTCTATACACCACAATATAAAAATAACGAATGTTATCAATTACTAAGTATAAAAGTCAGGGATATATTTCTGTACATACATGTTAAAACAAATAAATATATAATTTATATGCGTAAACACATCAACCTTACTAGCATAGTGACTCAACCAATTACTCTGCCGCGTGCCCCCATATTATATTCTATGCGAAATTAAATCTTAACGACACGAAGCAGAATTGTTCCCGAGAAGTTAACTGCGCCTTAGATAACGAAGAAATCGTTTGCCTTCTCTGAAATCCGAAGGTTTAATATGTGTCGATAATGCTCCATCACTGTATCTTTCCTGGCCCATATATTTTAATACTGTGGCGTATAGACCCGTTGCTAGGAAAAGACCTGGAAATAAACAGCGAGACAACAGCCGTTGCTATCCAACGGCACGTTAGCCGCGCCTCTACAACAATAGTCACTGTTGTCAGTTGTTAGTTGAGAGTTGAATTCTGCAGGGGGGGGGGGCAGAGAAGAAAGAACTTGAGCGCGTGAAGCTGAAGAATCTCCACTGTCAGAAGCCGTTGCTAGGGAACAGTTGGTGAAGAGAGCAGGCTGAAAAAGGCTTAGTGGGTGCTATGGTGATCTGTGAACATTAGCGGTGGCGCTGTAATTGCTTGTAGTTTCCAGTCATGTGTGTAAGTGGTCAGTAAATCCATTCACCAATTCAAACCCCGTCTATAGTCACACCCCTAAATCGTGACAATACTATCCTCCCATCTTAAAAATATTCTCTTCCTTTAACGCCTTCCAACGGGAATTTTGTACGCCTTATCTCTCCATGCGTGCTATTTGTCCTGTTGTTTACCTCCTTGACTTTATCGTACTAATAAAATTTTATAAAAGTTACAAATTTTTAAGCTTATTATTATGTATTTTTTCTCCATCTTAACAGCGTTGCGGGTCACATTATACTTCCTGCAGAATTTGGATTTTCAATGTACAGCGCCTCCAAACACGCCGTCACGGCGCTGACAGAGGGACTCCGACGGGAACTCGTCAACCTCAAATCCAAAATCCGTGTCACTGTGAGTAAACCTAAGGAACAGTATCTCGCACCCGAAGTTCAGCACCGCTTAATTCTGAAACCCATCACTGGACATAATCCTGAGACAGTTCCATCTTCCATCATGGGACTCCGTCAAAATTTCTTTTCTGGAAGGGAGTGGCGAGGGGGCACAGCCAGAAAATTTGTTTACAAATTTCGGTTTAACCAGTTAATATTATTTTTAATGATAACCCTAATAGTATCTGATATAAAACATTTTTAAACGATTTTAAATTTTTGTATAAATAGATTGTATACTTCCCTTTGTCTTCAAATTTCATTTTTTTTTTCCTAAAATACAGGGACGAGGGTAAATGCCTAGCTGGCTGTCCCCCTGCCGAAGCCAATGTCTCCGCTCCTAACAAGATCCACCTGAATGCTTTGTTCCACCTTCTCAGTCTTCCATTTTGCACTTTTCAAAACCTGCCTTTCCGACTTTCTACATATCTAGTTCATCGTAGGGTCCTAGATTTTAACATCCTAACATCAACAGGTGATCTGTATGAACTGCAGAGTCCCTGGCTACGTACTAAGGGGTAAAGCTATGAATTTCCACATTACTCTTCTAATGTTTCTCAGTTCATGTCATTTAGGTCATAATATCGTGCTCAGCTCTTTATTTCGAAACACCTTCAGTTCTATTCCTCCATACTCGACAGCAAAACGACTTCCACAGTGCTTTTGAAGCGCAGAAAAAAAAAAAAGGATGGGACCGCTGTATACGTTCCCAAGGAGACTATTTTGAATGAGATGCAGCGAAAATTGAGTACAGCAGATTGTGCCCTATCTTTAGTAGTTTCCGGCGATGAAATCTAGTGGCCATTTTGCTTCATGAGATTTAAGGCAATTTTTGTAATGGACACTGTTTTTTCCTCCTCAGCACCGAACAATTATAACATCTCGGCACGGACCACGTAGAAAACCCCGCTTCTCACCAAAATCCATATTCTTACGAGCATATCCACTGCACTGAGAAATTGTCTGGCGAGTTGTTCCTTACGAACAATCGTCTATTCCGGTTTACTCAGAAATTGCCGCTTAGCAAGGGACGTCGTTCTGTTTGTTTCGCGACCGTTGCCTATCAACGATTTATGCGCTACAGTATTTAAGATCATTTTCCTAGTTTCTCTCCTATGACGTTCAGACATTTGTCTGTTTCATGGGGTACCATGCACTATTTTTTTTTTTTGAGAACCATAGGTTACTGTATAAGATGACAGCAAATTACTTACTGTTTATCTAAAATATCTTTTAGTGTTTGTCACAGTGATTGGCATAGTCTGTTACATCAGTAGAAAGTTGCTAGATAATCACTTTCAACCTCCGATAGGAACCAAAATCACCATACTGATGATATCGTTGTGCGCAAAGTACTTATCTTCTGTAAGGTTATATACTGAAGACATGACATACCCTTAAAATATGTCTTAAGACAAAACTTAGTACTATCTTCCGGAAAGTAAAACTGTGTAGTCCGGTAGAAGTTCACCGACATTTCGAAGGAACATATGCCTCCATCTTCAGGGTTGAAGAGTAAGCTAAGAAAGAAACCAACAAGAAACACGAGGCAAGCCGCGCCTGCTCTGTTAATTCACCACTTGAAACACACGAGGCTCAACGTCATCATATTTCCATAATAGAAGAGTGGTGAGTTATTTCTTTCACATTTCAGAGTATCAGCCCGGGTGTGGTGAAAACAGACTTCCTGATTTCTTCCGGAACTAATGTCGTCACGCCGGACGCCATGTATTCAAGCAACCCCTACTTGTTGCCAAAAGACATCGCGGACGCAGTACTGTTTGCCCTCGGATGCCCTCCACATGTTCAGGTAATTCTGTTACAACTGGTTGATACGTAAAGCCGCCGTTTCAGTTTCACAGCCTCCCACTGGTCGGGATTCTGAACGAATTTCAACCAAGCCAAATCCTCTAAAATTATTTCCACAAGAACCATCATACTATAATCGCCAATATCTCCTTCTCCGATTTCGAAATGGTTATTTTCCAAGATATATTTCCATAAATATTATGTTAAGTATCTCAGTCTTCCGCACCCTGCATGTTGAAACAAGACAAATATAGACTTTACAGGATTCTGACGATGGTGTATCCATGATATGTATACAGTGGCCGTCTTGTAGTGCACTCAATTCGTGTATGCTGTACAGAACTACGTATAAGGCTTATTTTGGACTCTATCCATCGTCTGGTATATATAAGACAGAAACCACAACCTTTCGGATATTGGATCTGTCTCCGTCCTCAGGTGGATGGGGCAGGATAGACCTACTCAGTACCATCCACCTGAGGACGGAGACAGATCCAGTCTCCGAAACGTTCTGGTTTTTGTCTTATACCAGACGATGGATTGAGTACAAAATAAGCCTTGTAGTTCTGTATGACCAATATAGTTATTACCATTTTTTTCAGTGGCTCTTCCTTCCAATTCAGGGCCCAGGCATCTTATCCAGTTACGTAATCATTTTTTCATAGACGGAGTTACTACCAGCACACGCACTCACTAACGGAGCTGAGCCCTTCTTCAGAAGCTGCCAATTTTGCAGCTACTCAAGAACTTCCCAGCATTTTATGGAACCCGAAGATTCATTACAGTGTTCACAAGAGCCCTCCAATGGTCCTAATCATGAGCCAGATCAATCCAATCCATCCCATCTCTCAGAGCCATTTTAATATTGTCCACCCACTTACGCTTTGGTCTTCCCAGTGACCTCCTTCCTTCCGGCTTACTACAAGTACAACGAAAACTACAGATGATAGTGCGGGAAGATTTATTTCCTTAATATCTGTCAACTTTTTGTAACTTCACAACATCACTACTAAAACTGTCTTCCCCTTTTCTCGTGACTTACTGATACCTCGATCTTTGTTTGTATCCTGATGTGTGTCATGTGGTCGTATTCTGGCTGTCAACACAACAGTAACATGAGACACATTTAATGAAACTGCCTGATGATGGTCCCAAATATGGACCGAAACATATAGAAGTTACTAAATAAAACCAATGTAAACAATTACATATGTTTAAAGAATGCCGTCTTCTGGCATGTGACGCCGTGCAGACTGCAGCCACATGCTCAAGTTTGTTCCTCGCTCGCGGACTTTCTACGATGAAAATGGAGGGGATACGTTTCACCGAAACGTCGGTTCACACAAGATCTACACGGCGTCACATCCCAGAAGACGGCATTCTTCATAGTCACCGCCGTGAAGACCTCAAATATTACAATTAGATTGTTTTTCATTTACTGTTGTGCTGGTTGCCGGAATACGACAAATAACGCGCGCAGGCTTCCATAGATACAATTCAATAACCGCAAAATAACGTGTTGGGAGTCGATAAGAAATGTGTCTGGCACGATATCATAGTAGAGGCGAGATCCTGTTTACTAGCGCGCAGTTTGGCCAAAGAGTCGGACGCTGTTCCCGTCGAGTCGGGTCAATCCACAGATCATCAGTTCGCTTTAAGGTTGTGCTATCTAGGAAACTCACTGGACGTAATTAAAAAAAATAAATAAATTTTGTGTTTGTCTGTTACAGATCCATGAGCTTATCATCCAACCAGTTGGAGAAAAATTCTAAAAACAGAAAGTGGGACACGTAACTACTGTATTGCATATACACGTATTTTACGTATGTTTTCTGAGGAACCTCCCAGAAGATCTGCATTCGAAGTTGATATGATGAACTGTCATTATCGGACTTCAAATTCAAACTGAATTATTATGACAAAGAGTGTTCTGATGTCAATAAAGCAGGCGAACATTATTATATTATATTATCATGCAGTAACAATTAAATTACCCGCTTATGAGAACACGATATCCGATGACGTCTTATTATTCCCAGTTTATGCACTCTGCTCTAATAATAGCTCAAGCGGTTAGTCGCAGGCTTCCCAGTGCGGCGGCCCGAGTTCGACCCCGGGGTCTGGTCAAGTGGGATGTGTGGTGGACAAAGTTGCGCTGGAGCAGGTTTTCTCCTAGTACATCGGTTTCCCCTGCCAATCTTCATCCCACCAGTTGCTCCACAATCACCCTCACCTATCATCTGGGGCTGGTACAATAGGCCAGAAGTGGCCGCAGTACAAGGGACTTAGTCCCAACCCACTAGCAACAAAAAAAAATATAGAGGACTTCGTAGTTTTCCTCAGGCTTTACAGGCAAATGCCGGAGAAGTACCTGAAATTAGGCCATGGCCGTTTCCTTCCACTTCGTTATTCATTAGTTATGTAATGATTAGGTTCGATAACGATGTGGTCTAAATTACCGACTGCGTCGTTAAATATGTCAAGAACAAAAAAAAAAGTGTCCCGAAAGTGAATGATAAGTGACACGTAATATATGTCACTATCGTCTTATATCGGGGCGTGAAGCTGACCGCTCACTTCCAACTAGTGCCGAGGTCAAGAAAATATGGCTATATACATCCACTCCCCCATACGCCTTCACGGCGTAGTGCTTAGTTTGCTAAGCACAGGGGCAACTTTACCTTTTCACAGCCTTATTTAACAACGCTGTAAGTAAGTGAGGGTCGAACAGTTGGATTGTTAGCGAATAATGAAATAGACAAGACACACGCGGACACAGTTGACGTGAAGATCTTGTCTCTTCCGCCTGAACGGCCGAACGATTTTCTATTGGCTTTCAAACAAACTCCATAAGTCAATGGGATTAGAAATGATGATATACTATGAGAATTACAAATATGACCTTCTTCATTAGAAGATGAAGGCACGTAGATGCCGGTGGTTTGAAATGTGCAAAGAATGGATGATACTAGAATACCAAAAACAAGCCTTTCCTTTTAAACTGAGATGGAGAAAGGATTTTGGATATCCAAAAAAAAAAAAAAGAGAGACGGAAAGCTGATATTGGAAGAGGAAGATTTCCTGGCCCTGAAGTGAAGATGACGAAATGATTACTACATAATCATACTTCTGTTTTTTATAAGGAAAGTAAGCTAATAAAATGTAAGAGTGGTCGTAATGAGCCAATTTCTTCTGGTATTTTGGTCAGTTAATATGACTGGCGTCGTTGTGATCAGTTCACACTATCCCCATGAAAAGTTGCTTGGTAGAAGACAGGGGCACCCGCAAGTGGGGAGAAGCCCACCAGCCCCAACTTGATTTAAAAAAGAAACGAAGCAAGATGGAAATTACCAAATATAACGTAAAGTATCAGTAAAGTTGCCCCTCTGCTTAACTAATTAAGCACTACGCCATGAAGGCGTGTGGAGGAGTGGATGTATAGACCCACGTTTTCTTCATCTCGGCACTAGTTGGAGGCAAGTGGTCAGCTTCACGTCCTGGCCGCTTTACTCCCAAAGTAAGAGCCTCCGGGACTCATTGAATAGGAAACTGGGTAGGCCACACAACGGGTCTGGACGACGTAGAGAAGAGAAAATTTTGGACTCTACGGGACTCGAACTGTGACCCCTCAGTCGTCCAGCTCGTAGCCACTAGCTATACCGAGTGCGCTATTCCGGCTTCTTAAATGTTAATATAAAAAAATTAAGATTTTTCTATTTTGAATACCCTAGGGCTATTCGTAAAATTAGTCTTAAACGGTTTAAACTTTCCTTTGTAAGCAGCTCTTCAACTTCAGACCCTGAACACAATTGTGGTGGCTCGCCATCGCAACAAATATCTCTTATTAAAACTATTATTTCATATATAGAACTGATCATATGCTGGTAATGTTAACAGCATAAAAATCTATTACCAATAAAATGCTACTCACCGTGGCCGTTGCTGCGGTGTGTACAAATACCCATGTAGCTTCGACCTCCTTCCAAACTTGCAGCCACGCTGAACCTCTCCTTGACTGTCCTTGTGTACACTGCAAGTCGAAAACGGGGTAATCACGAAAAACTTGCACACAATTTTGCACTGCCATCGGTTTAGCTCATTCACTTTATACAGTGGGACTAACGGTAGAATTACAAAATAGGGTGTTCATCCCTTTCTCACAATGTTTAAATCGATGAATATTAATACGCACACTTCATTATAAAAACACTATACCGTGACCTTGGCTGACTTAACACGGCTTGTTTCTGTTTCATAATCACAGCACAGTAAACCCTAGTTAAAACGGACTGTGTCCGCTGTAATCGAGTGAAGAGGTATTCACGGAAGTATACCATACGACACACAGCCAATACACGGAATAAACAACGAAACACACATTGTGATTACAGAAACGTTTTTACAAATGGGGTTTCCTAACGAACTTCTTAATGCCTCAACATCTCTAAAAATTCACAATCCTAAAAGCCAGATTTGTCCGTCATACCGATGGATTGGTCTATTTTGTTCTGTCTCATATATATTTTATACTCATCGAATAGGGTAGTGTAGCGGTAACTACATATTCGGAAGGTGCTGCGTTCAAATCTAGGCCGAAACACGAGCTATCGTGAGGTGTTTCGTGGTCTTCCTATCGCTCTAGCCAAATGCCTTGATTAGACCTCGATAACGTCACTACTTCCTTCCAAACCCTTTCCAGTTTCATTCCACGCTATGTAATTTATAGTTGAGTCGGGCAAAGAACTCAAACGTATCATCCCCCACTCCTTCCTTCCTGGCTACCCCTACTATACCCCCACCCTTCCATTCTGGTGGCTGGACTATTCGTTCTACAGCAGCCGTGTCAAACATCCGGCCCCCATAGCAACAGAGTGCGGACCCTCAACTTTTAGAGCTAATTGATATTAAGATCTATATTAAAATTTTAGTAGAAATATTTTTTGTAAAGACAATTTTTCAACAGACCAGAAGGCAAGGACAAGCTGACGCGACTCATTGCAGAGAGCATTAAGGGCAGACACATTCCAGTTGTCATGGGTGTTCAGAATCATTTTTTAGGATAAAGAGTGCAAGCAAAGTTTATCAAGTAAAAGAAATTGCAAAAGAAACTAATCTTTCAGACAATAATGTTAGTGAACCAATAGAAATTGGAAAAGGTAATTGCAGTCTACTAAATTCAGTGAATAATAAAGTACTAAGAATATTCCATCAGAATATAAGAGGATTGAGAAACAAAACAAATGAACTAATAAGCTCCATGAATTCAAATCTTCCACACATACTGTGCCTTACTGAACATCACATGAAACAGCTGGAATTAGAACATCTTCACTTAGAAAATTATAATTTAGGTGCTAGATACTGTAGGAAAACACTGGAGAAAGGAGGAGTGAGTATTTTTGTACACAAAAACCTAAAATTTACTAAAATAAATTTAGAAGATTATTGCAAAGACCAGGATCTGGAAGCATGTGCTCTAAAGTTAGACTCTCCTTTTTCAAATATTTGTATACTGACTTTATATAGAGCCCCATCTGGAAACTTCAATCACTTTTTAAATAGATTAGAAACCATCCTAAATGTACTGCAT